ACCCATTCCCTCGGTAGCGCCGCAGTCCGCATCACAGCGGTCCTCGTTGCAGAGGGTCAATCTTGGCCCTTGGGTGGCACACCTGTGGCACAGCCCATGCTAAGGAAGGTGCTTGGGTGCCACCACCCAAAGGTCGAGGGGGGCAGAGGAGGGCGCGCAGAGCCGGCGGCGAGGGCCATGGAGAGGAGCTGGGGTGCGAGCTGGGGTCGAAGAGGTGGTGGTACAAGAGAGACAGAAGACCAGGGGCACTGCAGGGAGTATTGGACTCACAGAGAGGATTTTGAGTGAGTTTGAAGCCATTCTATTAATGCCGATGTTCTCGGAATCCAGTAGTTTTTGACTATTCGCCCCACGACTTTGAAGCGCACGTGAGCGGCACATCAGCCATTTTCATTTCCCAATCCGCATGAATTATGAACTTTTTGACATGAGACTTCTGTTTCATCTAGTTTGGTATGGTGGTCACAATGCACTTTTTTTTTTTGGGGGTGGTACGGTGTCAACCATAGCACAACTAACGATGGTTAGCCTGCTAGGTTGCGTAAGTGTGGAGGGATCACGACCTCCAAATCAAAGTTAAGGGGGGGACCCCCGGTGTTGAGCGGAAAATATGTTCCCTACGAGGTACCTGGAAATAACTTTATTCGAGGTGTTCTCGGATGGTTCATAATCCCCAACCGGAATCTCCTTTCTGGTGAAATCTGTCAGTTATCGATAAGTGGCCCGGCGGCTTGCTTAGGTACGCTGGAAGGTTCGGCGAAGGGCCAAGCCTTGTTCGGTGGCGGTGTCTGTGGTAGTCGGTTGCGGTTGCAGTAGTCTTATGACCTCTCTTAACGATGAGAAGGCCCAGAGGACAAGTGTGAGGTGCTATAAGAAGTTATAATGTAACTACAAGTTACAAATGCTAAGTGGGGGTGCTCGAGAGCTGGGAAATTCCTGTGGGTCTCCCTCCTTATATACCTGCAGGTCCTGACTCATCCTGAGTCATTGCGCTGTGCATTATAAGGCTGTCAGCTATAAGACTTAATTAATTAGACTGTGCATGCTAATATAACTGTGCGTGCTAATTGTGTTTCATATTTCTGACTCATTCTGACTCTGCATCTGCCGTTGCGGTCTCGTGACTTTTCCCCGTCACCCTTCGTGACGGGACGCGTGACTACACGCGCTTGTGACAGGTCGCGCGTGACATATTATGTGACCTTTCAGGCATCTTATGATGTCGAGGACCCTTAGGTGTTTTTAGGCCAACATTTTTCATGTGTCACACTGGGAAATGCAGTTTAGGCACACGGCGGGAGCCGTAGTGTGGGACTCAGTTTCGACAATAAGCGGTAATTTGTTAACAATATTAGCTATTCCTCAGCTGCCGGTTAGGGACCATGGCAGGGGATGAGAGGACATCGTCCGGATACCCACTAAAACCCGGGGTTCACGGAGCCAGTCAGATGGCAGCGAGATTTTGTCAAGTAGCATCCTATGCCACATGTCAAGGGTGAGCGCGGGACGAATTCAAGATCTTTTATTGATCGACGGGGAGGATGCGAGGTAACAGTCAACTTCAAGGCATTTTTTGAGCATGGATACCCAGAAGTCGTGAACCTCTTTTACGGTGGGGGCTGCGCCGTCGTTAGAGATAACACTTTTGTTGTGGAGTCGCCAAATAAGATAGAGGGACTCGGACACTAAGATCCGGTAGAGCCGGTTGAGACTGGATGGTTTAGACTTACTCTCCGCCTCGAACATTGCAAGGCCGCAACTCAGGATCCCGCTGAACAACGGGGGAGGGAGGGTGGAACCAGTCTTCTGTTAGGAACTGAACTGTATGTTAATATATGTATTTCTATGTAAATTGTCAGTCTGGGAACTGTCCATATTTAATACCATAGCTTACCTCAGTACGTGGTGATGGTGAGGAAAGCTTCGAGCCCGCGCGCTCTTTCATGAAGATCCGCGCGCGGTCCGATCATCCTGATGACAGCTGTCACCGAGATTGCTGTGCAGCTTCGGCTGCGCTCCAACATCTTCAGCTTCCAAAACTCGCTAGCTAGGTTCCAGATATGTTCACATCCGGTGTGTGAGCATTCCAGAAGGTGTAAGGGCAACCATGCGGCCCGAGAAGTCAAGGGTCCTGGCGTGGAGAATCCGAAGGTTAATTGACAGGCTGTGCTACTAAGTACAAGTATAGCGCACCTGGCGTGGGGAATCCGAAGAGAAGAACATCTGAGGATTCCCACACCCGGAGCCGCCTAAAATACCTACTGACTAGTAGCACGTGCGCGAGGTGATCGGAGCAACCGGAGTGATGCGCATAGGTCCCGTGCGTGGTCACAGGCCACGTGGTATCCGGAACCGGAGCTCTGGCGGGGTCGCGGGAGCGGGCGTGCGGGAGTGGAGGGAGCGATGGGGGGAGCGCCGGAGGGAGCGGGGACTGGGGCGGAGGTCAGAGCGGAGGCGGTGTCGGGGGCTGGAGCGGAGACCGGAGCCGGAACCGGAATGGGGGCCGGAGCGGGGGCTCCCCTGACAGAAGGATGTGTTCCATTGATTCATCCGCATTACAGTGAGAGCATGTGGCCCGGTACTTGTAGCCGGGGATGTGCAACCAGTATTGGCCGACCCTGTGCGCACCATGGATACCCTTCCATAGGAAGTTGCAAATTTGGTGTGACAAGTTGGTGTGGCAAACTGAGAGCCAGATCATCTCACTGGGGGCAATGGGCAATGTACGGGGCTGTTATATTGTAAGTATATCCGAAGTATTTTACAAATAGACCCCAGATATACTTGCAATATATGGGCTTGGTATATACTCAGTATATTTCAAATATCCCAAGAATATCCTCACAATATACGGGGCCTGGATATAGTCCGTATATTAGCTAATATCCGGGCCATATACTTGCAATATACGGAGGTCTGATGGCTACCATATATGGACTCCGTATATTGTAAGTATATTGCAACCAAACAAGCAAAAAAAAAGATGACTTGACACTGGCCACCCAGACTCACTATTCCAATACACAGTACCCAATCTATCTATCCTGTTTGAGAGTTTTCTTACAAACAAATGTGTTGCATATGAAGATTATACTATGAATAAAAAAGCCTATAGGTGCAATACATATAGTTGTATAAAGATCAACTTAGAATGAGTGGCTTAACCTTGCTTTAGCTAGGTCCCCCTCCGTCTAAAATAAGTCGCCGAAATCTGCCAATAATCCATAGTTGTAAACAATGCTTAGTTGCCGGTGGCTCCTTATGATCTGGTCTAGAACTCGTCATCTGCCACAACCAAATATAGCCAAATACTCCAGTGTTACAGTCCGTCTAAACTACTGATCTGCCAAAACCAAAGATAGCCAAATACTCCAGTGTTACAGTCCGTCTAAACTACTGATCTGCCAAAACCAAAGATAGCCAAATACTCCAGTGTTACAGTCCGTCTAAATTACTGATCTGCCAAAACCAAAGATAGCCAAATAACCTACTGTTACAGTCCGTCTAAACTACTGATCTGCCAAAACCAAAGCTCACCAAACATATCGGCGGCGCTACTGGAGTCTGACACTGTACATGTCCCTGCTAAGTTCGTTGACTCTTGCTGATTTCTCGGTCGTTCCTACCCCTTCCCCTGATGCATCTGTGTTCCTCAACCACTACAATGTGACGGCTTCTGACACCAACAGTGTTTTAATCATTGGTGTTCTACAGGACATCCTTGTCAAATCCTCATAGTCAACAATAAACTCAGTGTCCGTGCCCTGTCTGCATGCCTTTCTCACCTCATACATCCCAGATCTACGTTTTGGGGCCGCCTTCAAGTTCAGCTGTGCAAGCTGTCACATTCGATACTCGTGCGCGTCCACCGACGACGACCGCAGCAGGAACACCGGATACGACTTCGACATCCACGGCGGCGTCGTGCTCTACGCCGCCGACGACTTGGATGCCCGCGGGCTGTACGCCGCCGACGACTTCGACACCCGCGAGCTGTACGCCGCCGCCGACGACATCCGTGGCGGCCCACTTGACCAGGCCGCATTCCGCTTTGCTTCTCGCGCCGCTGCCGGGGATCGCGCAGGACCCGCTGCGTCCACCGCACTGGCACCTGCGGGAAGGTTTGCGCGCGTGAGGCGCATACTCCGCAGTGTCGGCCGGCGCCTGCGTCGTTTCTTGCCCAAGTAAAGAACAGGGTACGCTGATTCTTGAAGCTTTGCTATTTGCTTTATTGCTGTCAACTCGCTATCTACCCAATGCTTTGAACTACATGAAGAACCTCAAAATGTAACACCAAATACAGCACTCTTTTTTTGTTTTGTTTTGGTACAAGGCGACGGTCAATCTAGAAATACCATACAGTGACTCTAGAAAAGGAGTAGAAAAACTTTCGTACAACACAATGTCTAGGCTGCAAAGCTCGCGTGACGAAAGCTCTCGTTTTCCAATCAAGCAAGGTCCTAGCCGCCAGGGGCGGCCCCTAGTTCCATAAGCATAAAATATTTCTCGAGCTTGTTTGAGAGTCCCACTGATGTGATCAGCTCAAAAATATTCAATTCTTCTGTACTTTCTTTGCGCTTTCCACGATATATAATAAAGAATTAAATCTGCCCACCAATGTTCTATAAGGGCCAGCACATCGGTGGGCAGTAGGATGCTCTACAATTCTTTCTACGTTAAACATCCCTTACTGGTCAAGAAGAAGGGAGCAGATCTTGTCCCCATCACCAAAAAGAGTTTATTCTTTCAAGATAATCTAGAGGGGGGGTTATTACCCTCCCTAGTTTGCATTAAACCTTGACCGTTTTCAGATCTCCGAGTTGATGGAGTCCTGACAGGTGTCTCGGCATCTGGCCGAAATGAACGAAAATATTCCCCATAGAATTGTTTATGCTGATGGAAAGTCACCCAATATTGCATGTCAAATATACCACATTTGATTTTTATAGGACAGACAGTCTTTGGTCAAGATGGCACTATATTGAGCCTTAGGGTATATGGGTTGGATGGCCGAGCGGTCTAAGGCGCCAGACTAAGGATCAGCTTCATTTGCAGCCTTATTTCCCTTGTGGAATCTGGTCCTCCGGGGCGTGGGTTCGAATCCCACTCCAATCAGTTTTTGTTTTGTTTTTATCTTCACCTTTTCTCGCATTCTTTTGACACTTATCAAGAGAGAAACATTCTCGCCCCTGGCTACTAACCTCAAGCACGTGCTTGAGTCTGCACCTAGGTGCCTGATCTGGTTTGATCTCATAGATTGGGACCAGTGTGTTTGATAGCCCATCAATAGTTCACACCGCCACATCAAACATGGTGAAATCATCTCCAACTTGTCCTACTCACAGCCCGGGTGCAACAGCCGATTTCTGAGGGAGCCAAATCCTTTCGATAAGTTTAATGAGGTAATTAGGTATGCACACCTCCGTAGCCCACGTAGGTCCTCCAGTTGGAGGGGTGATGGGGGGTAGTTGGCGCCTCCAAGGGGAGGGGTTTGGAGGTAGCCGAGAGGTTTGATCAAACATTGAATAAATCGTTAAATCATTGCCTTATTTGGCCTGAAAACAACAGAACGGTACGGTGACCGTTACCGTCTCGGTCACTTGTCCGGCCATCGAGGCCATCATGTCCGGAAGTTTCCGGTCATGATCGGCGCGCCATCAAGCGTCACCGCCGCCTGTCGCACAGCTAGCTCGTAGCAAGGCCAATAATGGCCGTAAAATCACGAGAAAAATCCTGCACCCACCTGAAGCCTTCCAGAGCCCATCACCCTCCAACTGGAGGACCTACATGGGCTACAGAGGTGATCATTGGCATAACTAGTGATTTGATTCATATAAGTAAGACATAAGAGATATATGTAAGTCAAGGGGCCATGAGCAGACTATGTATTCATATAGAGTGGAAGGCATTGGGGAAGGGTAGCGCCTCAGTGCGCATGGGGTGGCATCTGGGCAGCGAGCATAGCAGACGTGCGGGCGGCCACTGCGCGCGCCGCCATCTGGTCCTTCACTCTCTTTGTCGTGTCGTCCTCGCGCGCTCCCGTGCCATGGGCTCGGCTGGCCGCCGGGAGCGTACGAGCTCCAGCCTTTGCCTTGGGCTTTGGCGCAGGACGTGGCAGGCACGCAGCGACGGCGCCGATCCGAGGGGGGCGGGTAGTTCCTAAGTCGGAGCGCGGCTTGCGCTTCTTCTTCGGCGCTGTGCCCTCCTCTGGGTCTGATGCCTTTCGTTTCTCCTTCCGTGGCCCGTTCGTATGATCTACCAGCACTCCCGCTCCCGGAGCCGTATAGGCAATGAAGGTCGTGGTCGACGCTAGCTGAGGCACGCAGGCTGTGGAAGCAGCTGTGTGCCCTGCAGGCTGATGCCCCTGCGGGGGCGCTGCTTCGACCGCTGCGCTAGCGGGGAATAGAGTGGTGGGCAAGTCAGTGTTGATGGCGGCATTGTTGCTACCGTTGCTGAAGGTAGCGGCGTCATTCCCAGGGAATATGGGGGGATCAGTGGCGAAGTGATCGAAGGGGAGGGTAGGCGTATTGTCGACGAAGGGGGGGCGCGTTATCCCAATCGATGTTGTCAAAGTCGAAGTCGTCGAAGTAGGCGGGGTCCATGTAGGCGGGGTTCATGCTTGCACCTTGGCATCCACCCCCGAGCGGCAGAGCGCTTCCTTCAAGCTGCGTAGCGGCCCCGGGCACCAGCACCCCGCCCCCAAGCGGCTGCGCAGCGGCCCCGAGCAGCAGCGCGCTGGCCCCAAGCTGCGCGGTGGCCCTGGGCAGCAGCGGGGTGCCCCAAAGTGGCTGCATGGCGTCGCTGACGTCCCCGAGCATTGTATGATGCGCCGCCGCACCCGCAGTAGAAACCGTCCCAGCCGTAGAAGCAGTGCGGGCCAAGGTGATCGACGCGAGGGTGGTAGGAGAGGCGGCCGCAGCAGGGGTGCTCCCGCCTGCCGGCACGATCCGGGAAAAGGGCACGGAGGCGGGAAGGCGGAGGTGCGGTCTGTTGGGCGCAGCGGGCCCAGGGTCATCGTCGTCTCCTGTGTCCTCTTCCCCTTCCTCGGGCTCGTCGTCATCGCTGCGCGCGCGGCCCTTGCCCTTTCTGTTGTGCACCCCGCCGCGATCTGAGCGCCTCTTTCGCGACCGCAAGACGCTGTTGTTGCTTGCGCGGTGCTCGGCGAGATCCCCTGCAAGCTCTTCGATCTCGTCCTCCGTCATTGTCACCCATTGTATGTCCCTGTCCCGCCATCCATCGCGAAGGCGCCGGAGGAGCTCGATCTGCTTGATTTGTGCAGGACACACAAAGTCGATGTCGGCCGGGTACCCTTCAATCTGCACCCTCCACGCCTCCTGGATTGCGACCTCGTAGTTGACGTACTCCATCTTGACGCCGTTGTTCTTGATGAGGTTCCGCAGCTTCCCCTCGACAAGCAAGGAGATTTCGCGGCAGAGGCTTTTTCGAGTGTCCCGCGCAACATTCTCTGCTGGGCATCAGCGCAAGCAGAAAGCGGGAGGAATGCAAACATACCGGGCTTTCGGCTGCACGACCAAAGCTCAAAGAGCGTCAAGATGCGAAGAGCCGGCATCCCAAAGGTCTCCACACAGAAAGATAGACCGCCGCCGGCTTCGGCGGCGACAGGCATGTCCGCGTCGTCACTGTGGCCCCGGCTCAGGAAGGCAAAGGTGCGCGTCCCGGTTCTCTCGAAGAGCGAACAAAGCTGTGGATGAACGTACATCAGTCAAGGAGGAAGAGCTATAGAAGTAGCGCGACGTACCTCATCTTGGATGCGAGCAACGGTCGCGCGTGTGTCGGCAGCAGCAGCAAGGTTGGTGCCGCGCATGCCCACATGCTTTTCCTGGTGTGATTCCCGCAGCGCCTCCTTCATGCGGGCCTCTTCCTCGGGGGTAACGCCGGCCGAGAGGATCTCGTCAGCGAGTTTGTGAAGCTCGGTGACATGGAGGGACTCCCCATCTGAGGTGTGCATCAGCAAACGGTCAGAAAACCAAGTCAAGATGAGCTTACCCTCGCGGCCCTTCACCGAGATGTCATGCATGACAGCAGACCGCAGGCTGACGTCGCGGGTTTGCTTGTACACCGATGCGTTGTTCAATAACTTTCGAATTGAGTCTGCCGGACGCGAGTACTTGTTCGCGAGCTCGAGTGTTAAGTTGGCCCGCATTGCGTGGAAGGCCTCGATATCCGCGACCATATTCTCGTCCTGGAGATTCCGTGAGAGGGCCTTGTCGGCGCGGTTGCGCTTCTGGACGTCGGACAAGGGCTGGCCTTTCTTGCGGCTGCGCGCCAGTTGGACAGCGCGCCCGGGATTGCGTCCAGCGTGAGCGGAGGGAGCAGGTGCTGGCACCATTTTTAGGTACGAAGGACTTCGATATCCACGAGGCCCGAGAACCTTTGAAGCGTGACCTGCACTATATAACTTACTTGTTTATTTTTCTCGTTCTCAAAGACAAAGACACAAAATTGCATTGTATATGAAAATCCTAGTACATGTTGCTATATTTTAGAATGAAAATCTCTGCCTCGTGCGATGTCCGAGAAAAAAGCATCACAGAGGCCATCCCCTGCATGAAGTGCTTGAAGGCCGAAGCACTACAACTCAGATCAGCAAAAAAAAACGGCCAAAAACACAAGTGATCTCAAAGACTTACCGCCTCTTGTAGATTGTGCGATGCCCACTCACACTGGGGGCAAGCTATGATTTGCGGTGCCCGCAAATCCTGTGCAGATCCTGCGCAAACTCAAAAGATTCCCATTATATACTCAGTAATTGCGGGCTGTGCAAATGGTGTGCAAATTTTAAGTTTGCTTAACATTTGCGCAAGATTTGCGGGAACCGCAAATTCTAAATAAGGTTTCTATCTTCCCATTAAAATCTCATCATTTGCGGAAGCCGCAAACTTATGATTTGCGGACTCCGCAAATCATAAGCAAATCAGAAGACCAAACATACAAAACCTACTATAAAAGGCAATTTTTTCATCAAATCCTAGACAGGTGACCTCCTGGGATTCACTTTATTGCTTCTTGGATTCAGTCCAAATCAAGTTTTAAATTTTAGTTTAGCATATCATGTGCAACAGGAACGAGTCCCAGAAACATGTGACCAGCTTCGTAAATTTATTGGTCCGTGCCATTTTTTTAATGGAGGGCAACCCAAGCCAGCAGTCTTTTGAGTGGCAATGCACTTTTAGAAGCTAAGAGATACCCGATTCCAAGTCTGCCATAGGATAGTTACTAAGTTAGAAAAAAAAAACTTGGGTCATGTGACTGGGGGACCGCCGGTCCGAACCTATGGTCTGCTCGCAATCTGAGCAGACCATAGGTTCGGACCGGGCCGGCCCGAGATCACGTGATTGATAAGGGCCCGGAGGAACTCCAATTTTTCATGACGAAAAACAATTGCCCGGGACAAGACTTGAACCACTACCGATACGAAAGCCGAAGATCTCCACATTGCACGACACTACCACTCTACCAGAGTAACCATTGTATCCTCTCTCTCTTGGTCCACTTTGCTCATTCACCTACTCACACCGCAGGATCCCGATTAAAAGGCCACCTGAAGTTTGATTTATATTGTAGATAACAGGGTACAGAATAATTTTCTATCTAAGTACCTAGTTATCCAATAAAAAAGGCCTGTTAGTATGCAGCCCAATTCAGCTGGAATCAATGTACAAAACAGTGTCCATCATCTGTCAGATAAAAAGCCTGGGTCTAAACGGCCCATTTTGACACTTAATTCTACCTGAAATGAGCTCAGAACAATATTGCCAATAAAAGGGCTGAAAATACTGTGGCCCAATACACACCGGCAATAATCAAATTTCGGCACAGCCTAGGTGCAAGCCGAAAGGAGTCCGAGAATGATCCCATTGGTCCGGACAATGCCGATCCAATAGGAATATTCCCGGACTGATTTCGAGTTGCACCTAGGCTGCGCCGAAATTTGATCATTGCCGGTGTGATATCTGGCATATCAGGCTTCTTTTTAGCCATCGGGCGATGATCCGCCGACGGTCGGCGGATGGTCGCCGGACGGTCGGCGGATGATCGCCCGATGATCGTCACCAGCCAAATTCAGCCTTTTTGGCCCGTGACGATCATCGGCC